GTTGGGTGCTGCGCTTTGAAGAAGAATGTGCTTTTTGGAATATTTATTTATTTCATTTTATATATTGTTTTTATTAAATTAAATGATAAGGGTTAGTAGCCACTCATTTTTACCCTTCAAAATTACGTCATCTGCAAATGATGTGGAGATTTTGTGTCAATTACCCTACCGTTATCTGCAACACAGCTGACAAATATCCAATTAAAATGCTTGTACATATATTATGTTGCAGGCGAAAGGTATGATGCTGTAATACATTGAAATGCTTGCATGAGTACTATGTTAAATACAATATACTTGCTTAATCTACAGTACTAGACATTACTTTTGACAGATTTTAGCTTTATTTCTTTTGTAATACTGTTCAGCTATCTATCCACCTTATTAAACATGCTGTTAATTATATTGAAATGCTCGCATGAGTAATATTTTAGAAAAGGTTAATTATATTATTGTATTTGTCTGTGCAGGCTGAGAGATCTCCACCAGAGTTGTAGCAAAGAGATGGATGCTTATGCTAAATGCCTGTATTACCACACAAATGAGTTTGAATTTTGTCGCGAGGAGCAAAAGGAGTTTGAAAAAGCATGCCCCATTTGATTATGTAATTACTAGATGGCTCTGCTGAACATACTTATGATCCATCTGCTTGTAAGATAGTGAAGTTTCATGTTAGTCTGCAAACTCTAATTTTTATGAAAGTAGTCACCAAAATTTGCTTTTTGTTTCAGTTTTGATCAATCAGTTTAAATTTTTTAGTTTTTCTGGTATGTCTGACATGGAAAACAACCACCTGATGTGGTATTCGTTTATGATGAAAATTAGATCAACAAATCTTACTTACCTAGTTATAGTTTTCACTTCCTAAACTCACTAATTTGGATGCTCAAGCAAGAGCAAGAAGTAAAATAGTTATTTGAGAAGGAGATATTTGAATTGCATGCCATCTTCTTCAAACGAAAGGATATTCATAGATTTTCCCAAGTTTTTGGATAATGACATATGGTGACTCTTTATTAGCTGCCTTTTAACTGATTTGGTTAAGAATCACACTTTATTCACTTGTTCATGTGCTCTTTATTAACAACATATAGTCATCTTGGATGCGAAAAAGGGTTCGTGACTTTTAGGCAGGCCCTCTGCTTCTTCATTCCCTTGCGTGTCACTTTACGCCCTGTTAATGGGGGTAACTCTTGCGAGATGTATTCCTTAGTTCAACAGTATTAATGTGTAGGTCCTCCATGTCGGATATTCCATCAGAAAAACTAAGAGATCCACCATGAACAGAAAGCAATCTTCATTGATTAGAGCTTCCATATTATCTGTTTGACTAGTTTTTGATAGTCCTCTTTTAGCTATTTCTTTTTCAAAAATTATGTTCATGCATTGGGTATGAAATGGCAATGATAAATCATTTGGAGATGATAAAAAAATCAGAAAAAAATCCACAAGGAAAAATGAGCAGGAGATTAAAGAAAAGTGCATGTTGGGAAACGCTGGTAATTTAAAATTTACTTTTACGTTTCTGTTCAAGTCAAAATTTTGTAATTTTAACCACTTATTCAAATTAGATCTTAATATTATTTACACATTTCGTGATTCCTATCACTATTTTTCCTAAAAAGTTATTAATAATCAAAAGATGTTGAGCATGTTTGACTAGTGTTTATAAACGGCTTGGATTATAAATAAGCAGAATGAGTAATGGAAAAGTTGATAGTGTTTGTGTCTTTTTAAAAATGTGTGAATAAAAATTAGCTTGCGTGTTCATGAACGAATAAAAGAAATTCATGGTAACTATAATTTCTTCTAATTCAATTAGGTAAATATACTTTAATTTGTCCAATTCAGTAACTACACTTTAATTTGATTTCCTTGGATAATCTACTTCAATTTGATTTCAATCGAGTAAATAAACTTTAATTTCATTTCAATAAGGTAACTATAATCAATTTCACTAACGATAATCATGACGTGACAAATAATAAATAATGATTATCACACATAATCATTAATTGCTAACAGTAAATAAGTACAATTTCATTGAAATAAATAGATGGCAAGTTGGCAACATTTATTGAGTGCTTTGTCATAGATTTTTGTCGGTTCAAGTAGTGAAATTTTCTAATAATGATTGTCAAAAAGGGCTTAAGTTTGAAAAGAGAGGGAGCATCATTGTAATAGTAACTTCTGGGATATCCATGTAATTTTCTGTAAAGCATGTCAAAATTTTAAAATTTAGAACTACAACATAACCACACACTTCTCATTGTCATATGTAAAACAATCATATTACATGTAATGAAAAAAGATAACGCTCCCCAAAGCTCGGGAAAACAGCCTGTATAGTGAGGAGGAATAACACACTTCATTGTGTCTGAAAATAGAGATATAAAATGTTTGTCTGAAAATAGGCAAGAAAATTTATCATCATATGAAATGAAACCAACTTACAACAATGAGTTCTCCAGCATTTTCGACCCTCTTTGCTAATTTCACTGCAGCAACTGCTGCTGCACCAGATGAAATACCGACCTGTAATTGTTCGGTTACTAGTTAAAGTGAACAAGTATTTGCCAATGAGATGAAACAGCTGCTCAAGAAATTCATTAGACGAGTCAGCTAACAGTGAACATTACCAGCAAGCCTTCATTCAATGCGAGACATTTTGTCATTTCAATGGCTTCTTCACGAGTAACCTACAAACAAGTACAGCTACAATTATTAGACACCTCAATCCGGACAGGTAATTTATCAGTTTATCACGTAAAGGATCATTTTTAAGAGGTACATCTTGTAAACAAGCTAAGATGCCTTGAATACTATTTCAAGATTTATGCTTACTTGAATTATTTCATCAAGAATATTGACGTCCAGAACAGGAATAATGAAACCAGCACCGATGCCTTGGATATTATTTGGTCCTTTTAACATCAGTCCATGTAAATTAGCCATGAAAATCATATAACCATAACTTAAATGCCTAAAAGAATTCCTCCGGTTTGAGGTTGGGAAAAGACCTGCTAAACTTAAAATAGGATAGGGCTTTAAAAATGGATCGTGCTGAAATATTTGAATCACCTGGTTTTCCTCCACTTAAAATTGCACTTTCGGCAGGTTCAACAGAAAACAGGGAAAATCAAATAAACAGATAAAGATCAAACAAAAATAAGAAATCAAGAATAGAAATGCAAATGTAAATGTAAATGTATATTGAAAAATAAGAGAAGGATATCTCAGTATCTCTGTTGACCTTTATCTTTGGATTCTTCTTCTTGAGGAACTTCCCTACACCAGTGACTGTTCCTCCCGTCCCAATTCCAGCAACAAATGCATCGACTTTACATTCAGAGCTCTCCCATATTTCGGGCCCAGTAGTTTGATAGTGAATCTACATATTGAGCTCAACTTGATGAATAGAATAGCACTGAAACAATCTACAATCTATTTATGTAAATGTTCCTCTGGATTTGCAGGATTGTCATATTGTTCGAGAAAAAAACTATTGGGCGTCTTTTCAACTATCTCTAGAGCCTTCTGCATAACACCATCTATGCCCTTGGCTGCATCTGTGAGGTGTAAATCAGCTCCAAATGCTCGGAGAATAATCCTTCTTTCGAGATTATATGTATGTGGCATAACTATAACGAGTTTATAACCCTTAGCTGCAGCAATGGACGCAAGGCCAATGCCTGTATTATCACTGGTGACTTCAACGAGGACCGTCTTCAATCGTCATATTCCAGTTTAATTAAAAAAAAGGAAAATATCAGTTTAGATTACTTTGATTAAAACAAGCAGGCTTAAAAAAGATCATTTCAGCAGACAGAACATTTTAGCCCTCTTCGTCTGAAAATTTATGGGATGCATCTAATGTCGTAGGGGACTCGTTCATGCCAGTTTGGTAGTGTGAGAATATGGTTCACCTAACACCATCCAATGTTGTGACTTGATGGTATTGATGTTGACACAATAAGGTCTTCCCACATTTTTGGCAGAGGCATGGTCTTTCCTTCTTTCCCCTTCTTATGTAGACTTACTCTCTACCATTTCAAAAAGAGGAGGAGCTCTCGGTTTTTTCTCCCAGCAGAAAGTGAGCTCTCGTTTTTAGCTTAAGGTGGTGGTTCTTTGCCGGATTTTTTCCCCTCTCTCTTGGAAGGTGATTTGCAAGTCATGGAGGGCTGTTCCTGAGCCTGAAAAACACCCATAAATCGAAGAAGAAGCTGCTGAAACGAGGAAGGAAAACTGCAGAAATTTCGGCCAAAGACAGGTTGTATTTTTCCATCCCTTTTTCATTGTTTTGCCTTAGAATATCTTCTATTGGTTGATGTTTTGGTTGATTGAACTCCTAGGATCCCCAACAGGTAGATATTAAGATTTAGATTTTAATTCAAGTTAAAGTCAACAATTAATTTTAACCCCGCATTTTATGGGATCCACAACTTTTCAACCACACATTTCATCAACTTTTATCAAAATTTACTAAAAATATGATTTTAATCCCTACGGGACTCATAGAAGACAAACAAACCTTTCCAGGGGAAATTTGACCCTCCTCTTCTGCATCTATGATCATACTATATGCATTCCTGTATTAGAACATTTGCAGTATATATCAGTTTCTTGACGACGTCATAACTATAATCGTCCTCAAGCAAGATAAAATGAGTTGCAAAGAGAGCAAAACTTGAAGTGATTATTTAATACTTGAGCAAGGTTCCATCGTCTCCAGTTTTGCAGCAATACGAGCCATGCAACCTTCTACCACTTTGTTCAGATAAACGGCATTGGGGTGTTACCTATTAGCTGAAATGAAAAGGACATAAAATAATAAATATATGTACGTACATGAACTGGCCTAATTCTGAAGGAAAATAAGAAGGTTGGTTGTATTACTTCAGTTACATCATGGGCAATTTCACACTTCTCTTCCATATTCACTTTCCTGATCACTGCAAGAACTTAAGACAATCAAGGAATAAGAAAGAGAAAGCTTCAAGACAATGAAAAGAAAAGTAAATTATACATGAAACGGTAACAATATATAGAAATGTATTTTACCAATTAAAGCAATTCATTTACCCACATTAATGTACAAAGACAAAAAATTATGAGAATAAGCGTCTTGTATAAATAGGGGCGGATTCAAGATGAAAATTCAGTGGAAGCGAAACAAAAAAATCATAGGAAAAAACTTGAAAAAACCTCAAGAAAAATAAAAAAATTGAAAATCAAGTGAGGACGGCCGACCCCACTTGACCTCAAATGGGTCCGCCCCTAAAATACATGGAGTAGACTGCCCAAAAAAGGGAATTTGTGTACATGTACTGGAGACAATAATAATATAAAATCCAAAGAACACTCAATTGGACCCACAAATTTGGAGGGAAATGCCCAGTAATCATAGCCTCCGTATGTCTTCTATTAAATAAAAATCCACCCCCCCATCCCACCCCACGCCACCCCACCCCACCAAAAATAATTTTAAGTACACATTTAAACAATAAAATATTTTGTATGTAAATTCAAATTTTTTAAATCACTATTTTAAAACTTATTCTTTCCAAAAAACTCCTTTAATGCAACATAAACGGAAGCTTAATATAAACATGCAGCAGCCAATTGAAGAGAAACCGCAGCAGCATGAAAACATGTCAATAAAGAGAGGAGTCGATTTTGTCTCCAAATTGTCTCCTTTGTAGAACTTGTTTTAAATTTTCTTGTTTCAACTTATTAGCTGGCTGATTTTCCTCATTTACTTGGCAGAGCACTTTTGGACTGAATATTTGAGTCTGATTCTCCATAATTGATTTGAGGGTTTCTTTTGGCTCAAAATGATCCCAAAAATATTGTTTCTTCACTCAAAGATAATATTTTCATTAAGGTATAAAGTTCATGCTCCTCGACTCGACCCAATACTATAACTTTCTTGTCTTAACCCCAAAATTCCAATTTCAAGTATTCGATGAATGATGACATTATAAATTTATAATTTAGTATTTATCCTAAGTTAATCCATTTTTGAGGTTAGATGAATATCTACTGATATTTGTCATTTTAATAATAATTTGACTTTTTACCAATTAAGCCCCGTTTGATATCACTAAATAATTTAATTAAAATTTAAATCAAAATCAACAATTAATTTTAATAACACATTTTATATAATTTACAATTTTCAACTGTATAATCTATTTACTTTTATCTAAATCTACTAAAAATATGATTTTAATCCTTAGCAAATATGGGCTAAATAAGATCAAAAGTCACATAGTTACATGAATAATGCTCCTTGATTGGGTGGTCTGGGGCTTTTGAAGGGGATGGACACGCAGGTGGAGTGTTAGCACCTGATTGGCTGGTTTTGTTTTTTTCTGTTTTTTGTTTTTTCAAACTGTTCAATTATGTGTTAACGCGCGTTCTCTATATTTTTGCATCTTTCATTAGGTTAGCATGATTCTATTTACATAGCTTAAGAATTTTAAACCTCATTTTTTATGATTGAAAAATCACATCTAGACTAGTCGACAAGGTTAGGGATCAACCCTTATTTTCTTGAAAAACAAATCAAAAGAACTTACCGGAAAAGAAAACCATTTTCTTAATGTTTTAGTGATAAAAAGGGGTTAGATTCATCAATAGCTACCCAACTTTATAATTGGTATTATCATGACCACCCAACATTATATTTAGTGTCACTATCGTCGCCCAATTTTATATCATTTCATTATGGCCATCCAACTTTTTTCGCAATTTTCATTAATTTTGAAAAGGGTAAAATGGTAACTTTACATTATATATAAAAAATAAATTAAAAAAATTAAAATGAAAAACTTATTTAAAAAATAAATAAAAACTATTTAAAAAAATAATATAGAATCAAAACTTATTTAAAAAAAAAATTTACTCAAAAAAATAATATAAAATAAAGATCATGATGAAATGTTATATAAAATTAGGTGGCTATAGTCAAATATTATATGAAATCAGGTGATCGTGGTGACACTAAATATAAAGTTGAATGTCATAATGAAATAAAATCAAATTGAACGGCTATAATGGCACTAATTATAAAGTTGGGGTACCATGAGTGAATTTAACTCAATAAAAGGAGGACCATTTAACAATTCAAATTTTTACTGAGGAAAAAAAAAAAACCCTCTAGGGTTTAAGCTGGAGAAGGGAAAATAGAGCTTATAATCAATGGCGTCTTCACTCTCAGGAAAACTCGGTGGTGCAATTTTCTCAAGCCCAAGAGCAAAACTCTCAGCTTTTCACTTTTTCTGTACCAAAAGTCTAATTTCTGAACAATCCGAATCCGATGGCGAGATTGCCCATCCCTCTTCAAGTAAGCAGCGGCCTAATGCCGATAGACCCCTCGAGAATGGGTTGGATGTAGGCATTTACAAGGTACATATCACCCAAGCATATGCAATTATGTATAAAAATGTCAATGTTTTGGGGCTTAGTTTCATGACATATTTTGGTCATGGGATATCTACTTATCTAGTTTGCGTAATAGAATTGTACATTAGATTATTTTGTATTGTATTCAGTCTGTTTAGTGCAACACATGAACGCAAAAATCTATTGATGTGTGTTAATAATTTGATGGTTGTGTGGGACTTGATATTGCTCGTGGAGCAGGCAATATTGGTGGGTCAAGTGGGGCAGACTCCTATACAGAAGAGATTGAAGAGTGGACATACGGTGACTCTGCTTTCACTTGGTACTGGGGGCATCCGAAACAACAGGAGGCCTTTGGATAACGAGGAACCCAGGGATTATGCAAATAGATGCGAGGTTCAGTGGCATAGGGTCTCAGTTTATCCTGAGAGGCTGGGGGAACTTGCCATGAAAAATCTTATTCCAGGGTAATTTCCAAACTCCCCGCTCAACCCAATGCCCCTTTTAACTAGCGTTTACCTTATGATTAACTGTATATTTTGATGATTGGTTAATTTGTGGTTGCACTAAAAATTGTTAGTTATATGACATCACACGAGCTTAGGAACTCCTCAGAAATGAAGAATGAGGATTTCTATAGTTTCTGAACCTTCTTATGCCTAGTAAATATTTTAGATTTTTTTTTTTTTTTGATTGTAATATTGAGGAGCAAAATATTTGATGTATTGTAATTTGTGATTTTGTAAAACATATTGTGCTTGTCATGAACCTTCTTTCTTCTTTATATCAGGTTTTGTTGGGAGAGAAGGGGGTTCTATACCTAATATAACTCAGTTCACTTACTCTAAGCACCTTAGAAAACAATTGCAGGATAATTATAACTTGTAATTATCACTGTGTTGCATACCTTATGGGGTTAACCTAATTGTGAAGGAAATTATAGTTATCTTTGCATCCCACCCCACCTTTGAAGTTACTTCTCTTTCAGCTTGTAATATTTTATTCGTATAATATCTTTGTTGGCTTTGAAGTTATTATCTTTGTTTGAGCTCCCTCAAATTTGAGAATTAGCAGCTTTGAGTAGCAGTTTATTTATTTATTTTCAAAAATTGATGTAAATTATAATATCTTCTTGATTTATGCCTGTTTGTAGCTCGATCCTGTATGTGGAGGGGAATCTGGAGACAAAAATCTTCAATGATCCCATAACTGGTCTTGTTAGGCGAATACGAGAGATTGCAATACGTCGGAATGGTATATTAATCCTTTTCCCCCCTTTATTAATTAATTATTTATTTTCTGTTGGTCTACCTGCCCACAGCATTCTAGTTCTCTCTTATTTCATGGGATGTGAATTTCAAAACTAGTTTTGCTAGGTTATTAGTGAAAACTAATGTTGTTAATGTTAATTTCATCAAGTTATCTATCATACTTATTCTGCTGTGCATCCGTTTGCAGATCAATTTCCTATTGCTTGGCCTTTTCTATGGATGTTCCTTATGAAGCTTTCCTTATGGAGCCTTGTTAGGCTCTGGAATACTACTTAATAATTGCAACTTCAATCACTTTAAGCTTTTGCTTAAATTTCATTCTTCCATATTTCTCAGGCTTTTATCTTTTCATTTTGCCTTCAATAATTGTGTTCTCCGATGTCAGCTTGAATGCCATTAGCCAGCACAAACAATAAAACTTAGCTATATAAACGTCTGAAAAGCTTGGAATTCTAGTTCAGGCATATTAGGTGCTTCATCACTTTCACCATCCTGTATACCTTTAGTGTAAAGAGTATTTTTATAACACACTTGTACGATGCTTTTTATTGGGGGGTTGTCAAGGATTTTTCAGAGACATCAGGTAGTAAAGGGTTTGACTCCCTTTAAAAAGATTTGTTGCTATTGAGAATAAAACTGCCAGAGACTTCTGGGAACAGAGTAATGGAAGTTATGGAGAAAAATATATGCCAGTCCCTGACTTGTGGGAACTGTTCTCTAGAGTTATCTGCGTGGAATTCCATGTTTATGTTACAATGTGCATGTTTTGCAAAGCTTATGGTTGCTTATAAGCTAGGCAAACTCTATTTTATCCATTAGCTCGATCCTGTATGTGGAGGGGAATCTGGAGACAAAAATCTTCAATGATCCCATAACTGGTCTTGTTAGGCGAATACGAGAGATTGCAATACGTCGGAATGGTATATTAATCCTTTTCCCCCCTTTATTAATTAATTATTTATTTTCTGTTGGTCTACCTGCCCACAGCATTCTAGTTCTCTCTTATTTCATGGGATGTGAATTTCAAAACTAGTTTTGCTAGGTTATTAGTGAAAACTAATGTTGTTAATGTTAATTTCATCAAGTTATCTATCATACTTATTCTGCTGTGCATCCGTTTGCAGATCAATTTCCTATTGCTTGGCCTTTTCTATGGATGTTCCTTATGAAGCTTTCCTTATGGAGCCTTGTTAGGCTCTGGAATACTACTTAATAATTGCAACTTCAATCACTTTAAGCTTTTGCTTAAATTTCATTCTTCCATATTTCTCAGGCTTTTATCTTTTCATTTTGCCTTCAATAATTGTGTTCTCCGATGTCAGCTTGAATGCCATTAGCCAGCACAAACAATAAAACTTAGCTATATAAACGTCTGAAAAGCTTGGAATTCTAGTTCAGGCATATTAGGTGCTTCATCACTTTCACCATCCTGTATACCTTTAGTGTAAAGAGTATTTTTATAACACACTTGTACGATGCTTTTTATTGGGGGGTTGTCAAGGATTTTTCAGAGACATCAGGTAGTAAAGGGTTTGACTCCCTTTAAAAAGATTTGTTGCTATTGAGAATAAAACTGCCAGAGACTTCTGGGAACAGAGTAATGGAAGTTATGGAGAAAAATATATGCCAGTCCCTGACTTGTGGGACCTGTTCTCTAGAGTTATCTGCGTGGAATTCCATGTTTATGTTACAATGTGCATGTTTTGCAAAGCTTATGGTTGCTTATAAGCTAGGCAAACTCTATTTTATCCATATATATATATATATTGATATTGTAAGACCCAAAAATTTTATTTACATTTTAACCATACATTCCTTGAGACCCATGGCATGTAAGCACTTAAAAGCATTGACAAACAAGCACATATGTTTTAGTTTATTTGCATTTGACTATACATTAGAGGATGGATCTTGAATGTTGTTGTGGTCGTGCTTGTGTTTTTCTATTATTTCTCACTAGCAATTATTTTCTTTTAATATTAATATTATTATTATTATTAGTTATTTATTTATTTTTTGGTGTGCTTGTGTGTGGGTTGTTGGGGTGGGGGCACGCACTCTGGATCTTAGAAGATTACTCAATTCAGTGTAAAGTTTGCTTTAAAATCTGGATCAATGTTCTGATTTTTGTTCTTTTTTTCATTTTAGATTTCTTTTTCTCGTTACGTAACTTAAGGGCAAAATTGACATTTGAAGGCATATTATGATATATTATGGAAGGAAATTGTAATCAAGGGCAATGTCTGCTAATTTGTTAGAGGTTGAGCATAAGAGTGCGAAGAAATAAAGATTGGGAATAGAAGTGCAGAAGGAAGTAAATGTTGGGGATAATGTATTATAATGTTCGTGGCATATCTCATCTTATAAATGGATTGGCATTTCTACTTTGAATAATCTTTATTCTCATATTAACTCTAATTTATGGCCTTGCAGGTCGTCTATTATTTTTAGGAAACGGAAGTGATGCTGAGCAAACATCAAAATCAGATTTTCGAGGGGTTGGTTACTATTGAAGCAAATTGAGAGATGGAGGCTGTTGAGCAGAAGGGCGAGCTTCAAACTGGGAAAGCTTATGGTGGATAACTAGGTACTCGAAGACAAGGAATTGCTAGTTTCAAAACTTGGGAAAACATTTCCTCGCAGAATTCCTTATTTCAGTCTTATAATTATGATTTTACATCGCTTGCGGAGCTATGAACAGGGTACATTTGATGCCCGTTGTAATCTTGACTGTAAGATTTCAAGTTTCACCATTTTTTTATTTGCCATTGAGATCTCGTGTGGCTTCTTTGTTAACAGAGAGAGTTCTTACATTGTTACTAGCCGGTCTGGCACGAGTATGTTATTTAAACTCTGTTCGATGGGGATTAAAATAATATTTTTAGTAGATTTTGATAAAAGTTGATAAAATTTGTTGATGAAAAGTCGTGGATTTCATAAAATGTAGTTATAATTAATTGTTGAAATTGATTTAAATTAAAATTTAGATTTTAATCCTTGTAAAACATGTGCTTAGTATCTAGATTTGCCAACTATTTATTTATTTTATTATTTTAATTCCAATGAGTATTTAATATGGTTCCGTTCCTTTTGTTCTTCATTTTTTTTTTAAAGAAAAATAAAAATAAATCAAAAGGCCTTAATGGGGAGCCACTCGGTGCTGCCTGTGGCAATTTTTTTTGGTGGCCAGACCTTATAGCGATGCAGGGTGTAGACGTAAACAATAAGGGTATTGTTGGTAAAACACGGTCACAAATGGGTCTTTATTCGAATTTCGCTCAAACAAATGTGAGAAATGTTATCAATAAAAAAAAGAATGCAATGATTTCACAACATTCACACTTATTTTAAGACTCAATAAATTCTAATCAGATCGAGATCGCTGCCTTGTCTCATTATAAGCAAGGATTGGAGTGGGAATAGGACATTCATTCGACGGGATGGGAACAAGAGGGTTGCACCATCCCATTCCCCTATCTGAAAATTTAGGAAAGGGCTGCTTCTTGTTAGGCTAATCCTCTTCATCTAAATGGTCTGCTTGCCTCGAAATGATTTGGACCTCCAGGCCCTTCGATACAATCGGATAGAAAGCTCCTAGTGCTTCGTATTCTAGGAGCTCAAATTATGTGATTGAATAAATCCTTCTCCATTTGTTGCGGGTCAAGGGTTCCTTCGACTTTCCCTTCTTCAAACTCCGATTTATATTTGTATTTATATGAGTACGCCATATTTAAATGTAAATACTAAAATATATAAGCTCAAGGCCACAAATCCAACATATATGTATTGAGATGGCCCACTCAAGTATTACAAGTGATGATGAACCAGTGGACATTTCTTGCCATACGGATTTGCTTTTCTGTACTCTTATCCAAAAGTTGTTGGGATCAGCAGATCAAGAAACAACACAGCAAACCTCGTGGATTTCAGACACTAATCAAGAAACATCCTTAACATTTCATAATCGAACAAAATGTGGTCTAATCCAAAATTCATTCAACCCCTCTCGACTCCGGTGTTTACGCCTATTCAGTCTCCTCTTCCCCAAATTCTAAGCCTGACCGCTTCTTCTGCGTCTCCTCTCAAACAGTGTACTAAATTATCCCGTAGAGATTTCTCGATTTTCACCTCTTCGTCTTTGCTTTTACTCGTAGGCTCAGGCTCTCATACTCTTGAGCCGTTGCACATGTCCAATGCAAGAGCAGAAAAGGTTGGTACAGAAGAGAATTCCAGCTGTGCAAATCAAACTCCGACAAAGGAGGCATTTCTTGATGTAGCAATTAATGGAGAGCCTGTTGGTCGAATAATTATTGGGCTATATGGTGATACTGTCCCCTTTGGAGCGAAAATATTCAGTGAACTCGTTAGTGGGGCAGCTGGAGTTAGTTATAGGAGAAAAGAATTCGTAAAAATCATGCCAAACTATGTGCAACATGGTGGACTACGATCATATGGCGTTGATGCAGAGCTTGCAAGGAAAACAGGGAGTAATGTGGCCGTTGATACTCTCGTGAACGAATGGGAGAAACAGAATGACAATTGTTCGGGAACCAAGAATGTGGCAACGAGTGTAGGCATTATTGTTAGGGACCCCTCAAAACCACCTCCGAAAATCAAGTTGGTTGCACGGAAAGGGAAGCTGGAAATTGACGAAGAAGAAGTAGGAATGGATCCTAATGGGACAGAATTTCTCATTGCCACTAAAGACTCTCCGGAGTTGGATGCCTCGACTTTGGTTGTGGGAAGAGTCCTTGAGGGAATGGATGTTGTAAAGCGAATAAGCGAAGTGAAAACTGTGCAAGAGAACACAGGTTCTCCTTATTTCAGGTATATTCTTGATAGTTTTATCTTGCTATGCTTAAACTGTTGAAAGTAAATTTAAGCAAGTAAATGTCTCTAACAGCCCTGCTTTAGTTGAGTAGGTTCAATAATGTATCGGGGCAATAAAGGCTTCGCTGCCACTTATTTATACAAAAGTTGAAGGGCTGCGTTGAGAACTAAATTTAAGTAAATAAGCATGTCAATCTCTAACAATAAGGTCATTCATCTTAGTAAAAATGGTCGTAACATACATAGGTCACATGCTCACCGAACAACTTGAGACCATCTTCAAGGAATTTATGGAAATCTCCTCAATCAATCTGTGTTGGTTGCTCCAACTATCCTTGTGCAAACCTGAAGTTTTAATTCTAGATCAAATGGTGCAATGGCTGGATAGCTTTGGCAGTTGGAACCTTAACACTACACATCCAAGTTGCCCACAAAATAAACTTGAGATATATCTGCCGGTGCAGGATTATATTTGCTGTCGTTGTAACTGTGTTTTAATGGTAGTGATGGAAATTTTCTTGTTGGCTAACAGGGTAGCAAAGCTAATAGGAGATAAAAGAGCAGTCGTAGCAGAGCGAGGCTTCAACCGGCCTTATTTAAAGGTGGTGATTACAAATTGCGGACTGATATGATGACAACAAGTGCTTTGAACATATTCATTTGAAAGCCTCTACTCATGTTCCTCACAGGATTTTATTCCATTATTCAAGGCAGTGTGCATTTTGAGTAATATATCATTTTTGCTGGCCTCCATATAGAATTAACTGTGAAATTATTTAAGAGAGAGAGTGAGGGAAAGGTAAAAACACTAGGTGATTGTGATACTAGTGAGCAGACATTGTGGCTCCATTTTAACAGCAACTAATGTTGAAGTTCAGTGTCATGATTAATACATTAGCTTCCACCTGCAACCTTTCTTTTCTGTATTCAAAAATGTGTCTTTGAAGTTGGAAATCTAGGGTAACATTTTAAAGTATCAACACTTTTAACCAACTAAATTTTATGCTGATACAGTCCTTCAAGTGTCGCCTATATGTTGAACTAATGCACGGGCCTGTGCCCTGAGATGATTTATGATCCTTCACTATTCTAAAGGCTCCTCATTTTACTCCTTGAGAATTTTCTTATTTATATGATAACATGGTAAACATTTTTTATGTCTAGTACGAGCATCATAATAATTATGCCCTTACACGGACTTGAATCCTGCACCTCCTAATTGGGTTGCAGGAGGACAAACATATTACTCTATGTTAAGGGGGAAGATGCACAACAACACATTAGGTTGTTCTAAATGTTCTTGAGGATTCATTGTCCTGGATGGTAATTACAGTTTCAGAAGCAACCTCCAATGCCTTCACTCTATTTTTCCTTGTCTGAACAAGTTTACTTGCAGTCTGTTTAATCACGCTGTTGTACAAGCCTGGAGAAGTATCCTTTTAACCTACAGCCTGGGGTCGAATAACTATGCGACTAGAATTATCATCTGTACCGATGGAGCGGCCATCAGAAAATAGTTTCCTAAAGTTTTTCTCTTTGCATTCAGCTTTTACGTTTTGGTTCTTATCTCGTGTTTTTGCTTGCCTAAATTTGAGTGCCTGCAACTGTTACTCTCAGATGGGATGTCAAACAGTTCTCCTTTCTTGAACTCGAGCTTTCGTGGGGAGCAATTGCCGTTTCCATTTCTCGTCCTCCTACTCTTATCTGACCTTGAATCTGGTTTCTTGTTATCATTTTGGCTTTCATTCTCTACTTCAAGCACATACAATGTTTTCTCAGGAACATTTTCATAATGAGTTGTTTTCTTGGTCTCTGAATTCTTATCAGAAACCTTTTAGGGGATGTTAATGCTATTAGACTTTGAACCCTGTAACTTCACAGAAGAAGGTGAAGCAGTAGGGGGGCAGTTCAGTATCCAGCTTAATTTGGAGTTGCTCAGCTTAATTCCGCCGTTTTGTCCGTTACTTGATCCCGATGTTTGCATTCTCAGAAGCTTCAATTTCAAATCACCAGTACGTTTTGCAGATACTGCTACTGACTTGGCATAAGTGGGAACTTTCTTTTCCGTGTCTTATTATTATTATTATTATTTTGCAATTGGAACAAATTCTATCCATAATTGTAACAAATTCTATTCTTTTAATTGATAATTTTCATAAAAAATAAAGCTAAACGAACACTAAAAGATAGAAAATGTCAACATTTTTCAGGTAGAAAATTATATTAGTCAAACACATTTAATTGATAAATCCCAGTAAAACAAGTTTTATGCAATTCAATTCCTTGGAATTCATTTTCTTTTTATCCAAATTTCATTCTTGCAATCAAATGGACCCTAAGTTCTCCTCATGCAATGTACCTTCTGCAATCTTAGCTGGTCTTCTAGGAATCTCGCTCTTTGTTTGAAAATCACCAGTATGTTTTGAAGACATGGCTATTGACTTGGTTATTCGTGGGAACTTTCTTTTCCGTGTCTTTCTTCTCTAATTTCTCCTTGTGCAGTGTACTTATTGCAGTTTTAGATGATCCTCTAGGAATCTCGTTTTTTGTTTGAACATCCAGTCGTCTCAGACTGTATTTACAGAAATCGTGGCATGAACTTGTTGAAGCTCTGAGGTAATTCGGTATAGGCTTTGGCTCGCTACTATGAATGTTGAAGTTGCCAGTTGAGTCCCTTCTCATGCCAACAACTTTAGGCTTAGTATTCCCTGGCTTTATGGGATGTCAATTGCACCTGCACGGTCCATTGAGAAAGGAAATTGTTATGCCTTTATATTATGTGGCATACACAAGATGGGGGTCCCATGTATTCCAAAGTGGCATTGACATTCAATTGATTGAGTCTATTCACCTGGACTAATAACCCAGAGTGAAGTAGACTTGACAGGGCTATGGTGAATGATGTTTGGGTACAAGCAGGGTTTCATATTCTTGCTAATTTTCTTCCTTCCGGACACCTCTCCAATCACTCATCATGCATTGTCTCACTCTTTGAGCTTGATAGAAGCAAGAGAAAGCCTTTTAGGTTCTTCAACATGTGGACCAACCATGAAAGCTTCCATGACATTGTACAAAATTGTTGGGAACTTGAGATTAGGGGAATGGAGCAATTCACTCTTTGTAAAAAATTGCAAGGTCTAAAGGTTGAGCTAAAGAAGCTTAATGAAAAACTTTTTTCCCACATATCAAAAAGGGCTTAAATGGCTACCTCAGCTTTGAAAAAGGAGCAAGTGGCATTACATGATGATCTTCAAAGAAGTGTGGCATGCATGAGGAAAAATGCTATGGATCTTCGTGAAGCAAAAATGAGTTTTTACTACCAAAATGCTAAATGTGAGTACCCAAAGAATAGTGATAAAGCACGAAATTCTTTCATTCAATAGTAAAGATGAATGTTTCTACGGTGCGTAAAGGCAATGGTGCATTTACTTCTTCAATGGATGAAGTGATCAATGAATTCTTACAATTTTACAAGGACTTATTGGGGGAAAAATAGCTCAGGAGAACCTATTGACATTGATATATTAAGGAATGGTTCCGTGTTATCAGAAGAGCAAAGCTTGGCATTAATTTGGGACATCTCGAAACAAGATATCAAAGACGCATTTTATTCATCTTGTTTCTACAAAAAAATCTTGGAGTATTGTTGGTGGAGAATTTGTTGAAGCGGTCAAAGAATGCTTTAATTCTAGCTCACTTCTTAAGTAAATGAATCACATGATCATTGCTTTGGTGCCTAAGGCTAATCATGTGACCACCATGGGAGACTATAGGCCTATTGCGTGTTGTAATGTGATTTATACGTTTATTACCAAGATCCTTGCTTCTCGTTTGGGCCCTACTCTTGGTACTATTATTGATGAAGCACGAGCCATGTTTGTGGAAGGTAGAAGTATGATGGAAAACATCCACCTTTCTCAAGAGCTTCTTAGGCAATACAACCGGAAGAGGGTTGCTCATAGATGCCTTCTCAAAATTAATCTTAGGAAGGCATATGACTTGGTTGATTGGTATTTCATGAAAAGGGTGCTTGAAGGGCTTGGATTTCCAACAAAATTCATTGGATGGGTGATGGAACGCATTACTACGCATACTTAATCCATAACGCTTAATGGAAGCCTTTATGGATTCATAAAGGTGAGGGGGTTTCGTCAAGGTGACCCTCTATCACTATTTTTGTTTGTTATGTGCCTTGAATATTTTTCTAGAATGCTAAAGGGAGCAACGGAGAATAGTGAATTTAATTATCATCCTAAATGCGCCCCTTTGAAAATAACTCACTTAGCATCTTGATGGAGTGCTTATCCAAATTTGGAGGCATGTCGGGATTAAGGATGAATGTGAACAAATATAACTTGTATACAACGGGAGTTCATGGCCAAGAGTTGGGAGCACATCTACCAATTAACTAATATGGCAAAGTGATCTATGCTTTTCGTTGGGAATATCACTTGCGGTGGAGAAGTTGAAAATTAACTCTTATGACTGTTTTAACAACAAAATCTCGACGTATGTTGGGGCATGGTCTAGGATACCTGTATCCTATGCGGGAAGAGCAGAATTAGTGATATCCGTTCTACAAGGTGTGGAATGCTTTTTGCTTTCTATTTTACTAATTCCGGCTACGGTTGCATCAAAGATTGTTAGTCTTTGCCGTAATTTTCTATGGGGGTTTAAAAAGCCATTGGTTGCTTGGAGTAGTATTTGTTTGCCAAAACATGAGGGAGGCCTTGGATTTAGGGATATAAAATGTTGGAACTTGGCACTTCTTGCTAAAACTCTTTGGTACATTCACAGGAAGAAAGACACACTTTGGATTAAATGGGTAATTCAGATATTTAGATTTTTCTTCGTGGGACTGATGTTTGGTAGTACAAGGCTAGAAAACAAGACTCTCTACTGATTAAAAAGTTGTTGGAAGTGCGTGATCAAATTATACGGCCTGAACGTACTGTTCAAGCTGCAAGTGATGTGCTGCCAATTGGTCAACTTCAAGCATGTTTTGTGTTTCAGCAGCATATGAGCTTTTCAGGCCAAAGGGTCCGCAGGCAACTGGATAGCAACCGTTTGGAATTCTTTTGTCATCCCTAAACATGCTTTTATCTTATGCCTTGGTGCTGAGTCCAAATTGTTAACTAAGGTACTTGGAGTTTGATTTAAATTGCAGTTTTTGGGGAGTTGGAATGGAGATGGACTACCACTTATTCTTCACATGTTAGTTCAGTGCACACGTGTGGGGGAAGATCCGTGTATGGCTTGGCATTAGACGCTTGATGTCTACTATCCCTGGTACATTGAAGTGGATTAAAAGGGAGGCTTGAGAGACGGCTTGGTATAGTAAAGCTAAAAAGATTGCTCTTGCTAGCACTGTTTACCATTTATGGCCGGGTCAGAACAAAAAGATCTTTGAGGACCTTACACTGCAAGTTGATAGATTGTTAGACGGGTTAAAACATATGTATAAAAGTTATGTTTTCTTTGTATTCGTATGTTTTGATTTATTTTGAGTCTATAGCGTTAGGTTGTTAGATTTTTTTTATTTGTAAACCTATTCTTTTTGTTTGCTCGAGTATGTTTGGTGTAATTGTATATGCACTTGATCTCTAGTTGTTTGGATATGCTCGGTATGCCTGTACATGGTTTTTGATCAATATATTACACATTTATCGATAAAAAAAAAATTACTGCATTATCTTTTAGTTCCAATTTATTCTGCCGATTTAATTGCATTCCATTCTTTGTTTTCTTTGTTCAAATTGAATATAATAATAAAACTTCTAAACTCTAGTTCCTATAACCGGTTTTTGAGCTTGCCATGTACACCAAAACGAATCAATATTCCCTTTGAACATCCAAACAAAAGGCTCAAAAAAACAAATAGAAAGCCCCAAAACCCTCTAATTGTGTGACATTATTTCCTCGTCACTGGATTACTTACATAATTAACAATTAGATAGAGATTTCAAAGCGGGCACAGATGATTTCAGCAACTGGAGGCCTGGAA